ATGCATCATGTGTTGAGATCCATTACAAGAATGTTTAGATGGGAAGAATTGATAGGAGTAGAAAGTATGTATTTAGATCAAATAGAATATAGAGAAAATAAAAACAGATGGCAATGCAGACTATCCACATACTAGTCTGTCTGCTTTCCTGTTAGACAGGGGGGGGTATAGAGATTCTATGGTCACATGATAATATGAGGTCCAAAACAAATGATTAATTTGATTCGCGCCGCGAACCGTCACTCGGCCGACATCAACCGAGGTCAACCAATGGGTGGGGCATTTACAGGTCCTGCTTGGTCTCACTGCTGCTGCTCATGGCAGTCTCGGCCTTCTCGGCTGCGGAGTTGACCTGGAGCTCAGGGGTGTCGAGACCCAGATCGTTCTGCATCTGGGTAATCTCGGCAATGGAGAGCTTGGGCATCTGCTGAGCGACCTGGTAGGGCCACTTGCCTTCGACGTGGGCCTTAGCGAAGATGATGTCAACCTCCTCGAGATCACGACCAGCGGTCTCACAGTAGAAGAACCAGGCGAATGGGATAGCGATGAAGTTGACAAGCGCGAAGAAGAGGTAGATACCCCAGTCAGACTGGTTGGAGAACACGGGAGTGAACATGACGACGGCGAAGTTGGTGATCCAGTTCACACAGGTAGAGGCGGAGGCGGCCTTGGTACGGGTGCGGAGGGGGTTGATCTCCGGGGGGTAGATCCAAGGCAGAGGCAGCGTAGTAAATGCGAAGAAGCAGATGAAAAGGAAGATACCGACGATAGCACCCTTAGCATTCTGCGTGTTGGAGTCGATGAGACAGCCCATAGTAATGATGAAACTGAGACCCTGGCCGAGGAAACCAATCAAGAAGAGGTTACGGCGACCGACCTTCTCAATCATGAAGAAGGAGGGAATAGTAGCAAGGGCGTAAACCGTGGCAAAGACACCTCCTAGAACCAGGGGGAGCTTGCCCTCCATATGCAAGTTCTGCTGGAACAGTAGGGTGGAGTAGTAGATAGCGGCGTTACAACCAGTGAATTGCTGGAAGAACTGGCCAGAGCAACCGATCATCATACGCTGGAAGTTCTGAGTCTTACCACCAGTAAAGAGGATACCCCAGCTGCTACCAGCCTCGATGGTTTGCATAGCCTTAAGATCGGCCTTCATAAGGTTGAAATCGGCAAGTACATCGTCAGCGTCGACAGAACTATCGTTGAGCTGAGCGAGAACCTGAAGGGCTTCCTGGTCATGACCCTGCATAACGAACCAACGAGGTGACTCGGGGAGCATGAGAGCACCGGCAGTAACCAGGATAGCGAACAGGATCTGGAAGGCGACGGGGAACCGCCATTGAACAGAAGAGTTGACATAAGAGAGACCAAAGTCAAGCCAGTAAGCGATGAAGGTACCGACAGCGATGATAGCACCCTCGAAGCAAACGAGGAAGCCACGGTTGTGAGCACGTGAGCACTCAGACTGCCAGACGGGGATAGTAGCGGTATCCATGCCGTTTCCAAGGCCGGAAATGACACGTCCAATGACGAACTGACCCAGTCCCCAGTGGGGACCGAACGCAGCAGTAGAGATAACAGTACCGAGGATCATGAGCAGGCCACCGGCCACGAGAAGAGGAGTGCGGCCAATACGTTGACCGTACATCATGGTGAAGATGGCACCGAAGAAACAACCAAGCTCGTAACAGGAGGTGACCGCACCACGCAGGACGGCGACGTGCTCGGAGTCACCATAGAGAGGAGGGAATTCCTTAGTGAATTGGTCACCAGAGATGATACCGGACATCAAACCCTGATCATAACCGAAGAGTGAGAATCCAACAACGGATGTAAAAGTGATGGCAAGATGGAGCTTCTTGCCCCGTAAGCCGGAGGTTGTGGTCCACATTATGAACGGCCTCTATTAGATGCAGAGAGGAAAAGACCAAAGGACATGGGGAAAAAGAAAAGAAAGCTCAGACACTTGGGGGGACATTTTCGTCCCTTATATGCATTCCTCATTGTCGATTGGCTTAATGCCAAGAGGAGAAAGGTTTTGGAGTGACATCGGCGGCGCTACCACATTGGATAGGCAAGTCTCGCGACCCGCCGTGGGTACCAAAGAGGGTCAAGGAGGGTCAAAAGCCATATTAGTGGGGTTGCGGGGATGCGACGAGAAAGTCGTTGTTGTAGAGACTACTACTGAGGAGAAGAGAAAGCAGAGGAAGAATCACGATCTATTCAATGCTAACAAACCAGGGTATATATACTCCAGAGAATATACCCTGCAAAAGTCATATGAAGAGCGCTGAAGTCTGTCAACAGGGATGGCAGGTCCCAACAAACATCTCGCAGGTTTGCCAAGTGTACCAGGCGGCTTAGGTTTACCGTTTTGGGTTTTCGTAATATATCAAACTGCGCTAGTTCAAACAACGTTGTATGTACTTCAAAGTCGCGTATACTCGCTACGTAGGGGCTTTCAATCTTTTTTTTAAAAAAAAAAAAATTCTCTCGTGGCTTTTGTGGGGGGTGGATCACATTAATTCCTGGGGGCGCCTGGAGGCGTCTGGAGGTTGCCGGTGCGGGCGACGTATAGCCGGAAAAGGAATCTTATCCGGAGTACGGAGGTAGAGAGTAAGTAACCCTGCAACCATGGGGAATTGGAAATTGGGGGTGGGGTCAGGGGCCGAAGATTCTGTATGGTCCAAGGTTCGTCCACAATTGGTACTCCATTGGTTATTATTTTTTATTATTTTTTTCATCTTTTTCCCTTTTTTCCTTTTTTTCCCCTTCTTTTTATTCTTTTTATTCTTTTTGAGCAAGCCTCGGTGCCGATTGGTGTTCAAGCCTAGGAAAGTTCTCGTGAAAGTTGCCTTTTTCCTTCCGAACTTCGCCATGCCCGATGCACCGGCCGGTTACGGCGACGGTTCAGCCGTACAAAGTACCTAGGTACATTAATTTCCTCGGGGATTTGTGTGGGATGCCGTCTTGAGCAATGATCATCGGGATCACGAGCCAAAGCGACATCCATGAATGAGATCTGTGGGATATGAATCAACGGCTTGCGTCAGGTCTAACCCGTAAGGTCAACCTCCATATCTGCTTGATATTTGAGGGTTTCTTATACAGAAAGTGTCATCTAGTATATACTTTTTTTCGGAATATGGCCGAAAAAGCCCTTCCCGAAGTAACCATTCGGGAATGATTCGGATACTGACACATGCGTTTTTAATGTCAAAAAGAAATCCCAAAGGCCGAGTGTACTGTACCTCATACTCCATACAAAGTACCCAAAAGTCCAAGTGGATCCGTTTACTAAGGCATATCCGCATTAGGAAAAGATCATCTTTTCCAAGAGAGTTGATCCCGATGATTTTCACAGGTAAGCACTCTTCCAAGGTGGGGATATTTGCTTACCACTACTTGGCTCATCAACCAAGCCTTCCAAGAATTTTGTATCCAGAATTCCATGAAAATACCAAGAAAATACCAAGAAAGTTTATGAAGGCGAAGCATTTGAGATTCATAGCTTGGCCATTTATATCTTGGCGGGAGTGTCGAGTACATACATTATAAAAAAAAATTGGATGAAAAAAAAAAATATTCACACGGGCCCACACAAGATCCCGGCTAAAACACTGAAAAGGCAATTTCCTAGACTCGAGCGGGCATTGTCGGACAATTCACCTCCGATCTAAGATTGGGCTTACTCTGCTTGCGGAAAAAAAACCAAAACTAGATTGATAGACGTGGTAGCGCAGGCCTACAAACCTTGGAATATTAATTTCCCTGAACCAATAAAACAATTCCTTGAGTTGTGCGTATGGCCACGACAATCCTCGATGCCTTCCCGAATAGGAACATGCGCTCTGTCCGCGATGATGCCCTGTTCGATATGAGTATGTAGTTGGCCCCCGGGCATCCGTTTGTGGTTGTCGCTTAAGATGGTTCCCGACTTATCGTATAAGAGGAGCCGATACTTCGCGGGATACGGCTTGTAGATCACGGCAAAGCCATCAAAGTCAAAACAAAACTCTCAAAACGTCATACAGCCGCCATAGTATGTGGCGCTTCTAGGGTCTTGGCGTCCCCCTCGAGTTCCTTGTGTTCCTTGTGGGAGCCTTGGAAAGCAGGTTGTTGCCATGCGGGATGGCTGAACTCTCCGCAAAACTTCTTTGTGGTCTGAGTGATAAGGTTCCTTGGAAGGTTGGAAAGCAATCCTACTCTCGCTGATTGGTTTGGGGAATATCGATCCCCGTTGACGTCTAGAAGCCACACCTATCAATCTGAGTATTTCGAGCTGCATCGTTAATGTTTACAAGCGCGGTTGTGAGTGAACAGAAATTGGATGCAGCTAGCATTCCATTCTACACAATAGGGCGAGGAGTATTTCAATGTACCAAATCCCAGGTAAACTACATATATATATATATACACACTATTCCAATACCCAGGGAGGGAAATTCGCATTTTAGGATAGCTACGGGAATGTCCTACCAGCTCTACGTGAATCTCAGTTTGCAAATATCTCTCTCGGAGCTGAAGAAATACAAGAACAAAACGAGGGCATCCTCAGCGTAACATCATCTGTAGTGTGTCAGATGTGCTTGAACTGCAGATGTTTGAAGGATTCGCAACCAAAATGATATCCGAAAGGGAGAAGGAGAAAACGGAGTTCATATATAACGTTTCTTCTACACAAATGTACTCGTTTTATTGGAGATTTATCTACCTTAAATTTCATTTTCCGAAAGTCTGAACATTGTTGTGGAGCAATATATAGTTTGATTGCGGGGATACACATTTGGTGGGGTATAGGTAAACTGGGGACACCCACACTCATTAGTTTATATAGTCTGTGTGGATTGTAGGCTCAAATCATCCGGAATATCCGCAATGATTGCAATAAAACCCGAGAACCCTTTTTAACGGGGTAGAACAAGATATCATTCAATAAACTTTTTATAGACAAGCGCACCTGCCGTAGTGCATCGTATTTACATATATAGATCGCTAGTTTACCCGGTGATACCAGACTCGGTCTTACCGTTCTTCTATAAATCATTAGCATCAAACTGTCAAAGGGAAGGACAAAGGGGTCATACCAGAGTACGGTGGTACTTGATGCCGACGTTGTTTCCACTGGCCGCGTTGTACGGCACAGGGCTGGTGTAGTCGTAGGTAGGTTGAAGACCGTGGTAGGTCTTCTTCACAACCTCTGCGATACCATGACCAGCAGAGCACTTGCCCTTGGTGTCAGGAACGGGCCACTTGGAGGAATAGTTATCGGTAGACAGAGGGCCAGGGTAGGTCTGGTTGATGTAGGCATTGCTGGTATCAACTTCCCAGTTGACATAGCCGGTCTTCTCAGCGACTATATTCAACAGATTGGCGCCACAATCCCAGCGGCCAAGGGAGGGCAGACCCCAGTTAGCAGACAGGGAGGCGATGATTGAGTAGTGGGTGTAGAAAGTGTCGTCGGTGGTACCCTTCAGGTGCTTGGGGATAGCACCTCCAACCAGGAAACTGAAGACCCGGTTGGGGTGGGAGTAGTTACCACCCTCATCAAAGGTGAGCAACACTAGGCTATCCTTGTTGAAGTGCTCGTTCTTCAGCAGGGGAGGCAGGAAGCGATCGACCCAGTCGCCGGCCACAGTGATGTCGGTGTCGTGGGCATCGTTGGTCATGTTCGGTGTGATGAACATGTGTTGGGGAAGGCTGTGGTGTTTTAGGTCCTCGTAGAAAGTGGTGAAATTCTTGATTTGGCGTGGGCGCACGGCATCGTCGGTAACCGAATCGTACAGAACTAGCGGGTTGTGCTTGCGCACGTACTGGTTCGGGCCGCTGAGGGGGTACCGCATGCCCTGGTAGCCGGCATAGGGCATGTCCTCTTGGTACTCACCCCAAGCGATGTGCTTGGTGTCAAACAGATCGGCAATAGTTGAGACATTGGCGGGGATCTGCAGGAAGTCATCACTGTCCATGCCGAAAGTGTCCCCCCGGCAGAAGCACAGTAGTTGGGCTCCGAAGGGTGAGTGACGGCAAAGTAGTTGGTCAGGAGGATACCCTCCTTAGCCAGCTTAGCCAAGTTCTCATCTGAAGCAGCGGTTTCGTAATCCTGCAAAAGAGTGAGCACGTGGCCATTATTATTATTTATGCAAGGGGGAAACCCACTGTGTTCTCTAGCCAGATGTTCACGAAACGATCGAAGGCCAACCCCTTGACATTTGACACAGGGGAGTAAGGAAGGACCGTATCACGGGCTGCATCGATCTCAGCTTGAGTTGGGGTCTTCTCAGTGGTCGTCTTGGCCGCGGCCAGGGCCAGGGCCCCGACGAACGCGAGAAGAGTTTGTTTAGTGAACATGTCTGGAATCGCGGTAGTAGAAGCTGCGACGAGAAAGGTAACAGAGGGGTAGATTGGTCGGGCGACACGCGATCTTATACTCGAGCCAGCCTTGGAGGCATGACATTCTCCTCATCGGCTGGAAGAATGCGCTATGTTACACGGCACTTCTAGCCGATACCACGTTGTGATCGATGCAGGGCTAACTGGCTGCATTTTCACGGGGTTCAAGCCTCCAGGGCGTTTATCCCGAAGAGTCCAGGCTTCAACCGAAATGACCTTGAAGTGAATAAAAGTCACCTGGTGGTTTAATTGGGCGAATAGCAGATAGTGGACCGAGTACCTTCCCGCAGGTGGTCCTTGCGTTGCACGTTGTTATTGTCCGTGCCCTAACTGGTTAACCACGGGGGTCACTGGGGTCAGGTACAACACTCGGCTGACCATACACTGGGCTGCTTTTACCAATGTGTTCATAGTAATAGATTAATTCATATATTATTTCGTATAAAAGCTTCAAGTGCCGAGATGGACATATGCTTACCTTTTCTTGGCTTCTCATTTGGAAACTTAACCCTTAATCTCCAGTGTCCACCCACCCACTTCTATGTGGTATCATTTAGAATAACTACATAGATTCATCAAGTATTCCGGTCGACTATCTAAATACACTTATACATATGGACGGAGTACTCCGTATACTGCATAGCATATAGATTTAAGGTTGGATTAAAGTTTGTGTTATGCCTGTTTGTCTCAAGCCTAGCTAAAACTAGGCCTTTTTTAGTTCATGAATGGCAACTGCAGCCCCTCTAAGGTTCTTAGTTGCTAATTTAGTTACGATCAAACAAAGGAGGAAGGAAAACAAACCTAAGCTCCTTCCCGAATCACGCAGCTCCTGCATCCACCGCCCCCACTGGTATTAGTGCAAGTTTAGATAAACGAAGGAGATAAAGGTGGATTGATGGATTACTGAAAGTGATGAATGGCGATGGGGTCATACATGTGTGTAGAGTCGCATGACGATATGGTGCAAAGAAGCAGGTATAGCGTTGATGAACTATACAACGTGACCGTTATTTGGGGGTTGAGATATGCATTTTCAACGATGCTGTCCACAATATAGATAGAATAAATGAGAGTAGACATATAACGTGAGGGGCCAATGGGCATGACCATACTACGCTGTGGAAGTGTCGGTTTTATCGGTCTATTTGCGAAGAATCAATCGGGCCGGATGCAGTTACTTTGTAGACACTACAGATTTCATTAGATGCCGATAAAGCTATCGCCCGAGTCACCTAAACTGCCCAGGTGGGGTCCGCGGCAAAGCTGCAACCGACGCTACGACGGTTATAGATATTGCCGACAGAGAGGGCGGCTAGCAGCAGCGGGAGGGGCATGAGCATGAGGGCTAGGGTGGACTTGGTATACATTTCATGATAGAAAACCAAGATGTGAATTAATATGAAGGGGGCTGAGCAACTAGATTGAGTCCTTTTGTCGGTTCCTCTGTTGTATTCTCTATCTCGTCCGGCATAAGCGCCTTGGCCATATTCCGGTTCCGGCCTTTCGTTTCGCCTGGTATAAAGCATCCCGAGCGTGCTAGATGGTGGCTCAGTTCAATCCGTGGGAGCAAGGTGAAAGGGAAAATAATGTGTATTAGGCTTTACTAAATTATTCTCGAGTTCCCCCCTCTACATGATTGGACAACAGAAGACAGTGAAATGCGCGCATGTGCTTGGATCGCGAAATTGCACCCGATATAACCCACAACGGTCTCATAACGTTCTCATAGACCGTTATAAGAAACCCGTTAAAAATTAAACACCGTAGACCTGGTAGGGCTAGATCATGGGTTTCGAGGCTTGGCGATTAAAGTTGGGGGCGGGTCGGGCCTTTCCTTTCGATCCTCTCACCGAGACCAGTCTGTGCCTAGAATGGAGAAACTGCGTAACAATTCGAGGGAGGGATCGGAATAGTAAAGATATCCCTGATCCTGGACTGGGTAAAACTGCCTCAGATGCAGTCTTTGCCCATAAGTTCCGGTAAGTCATGTAGCCCGCCAGGTGCTTTCCACAAAGCGCCATCTGACTACCCCGACTACCCCCGCCCACCCTCCTTTGGCATCTGATCATGTTACCCTTCATTTTCACAAGTTTCTACACAGCCCCCAATCTATACCCAGATACTCGATACTCTAGGGCCTCAGGATGTGATATCACATTAGGTAAGGATCGGCCATGGGTGCCCGAGCTGCAGCCCCAGCCAGTTCAACCCTCCCGAAAGTGTTCAGTCGGTTAACACCTTAGAGTTCTTGTATGCTCGACACACGAGAATTCTTATACTAGATCATATACGTCTATCCACTTTACAATATGATTTCGCTCCTAGATCTACCTGTTGAGATCGTGCTGCTTATAATCGACTCCCTGTTCTCCGAATTCGCCGCAACTGAATCGAGCAACAATGATGTTTCTATCGCAACCCAAAAAGACTTAAATTCGCTTTCACAAACGAACAAATGGCTATATGAACAGTTGGAAACCCGCTTGTACAAGTTCAATGCACAATATTGTGGCCAAACATCATTGGCATTCGGCGCCTTTAAAGGCTATGACACTGTCGTTCAAAGGTCTCTGGCAGTAGACTCGTCAGATATAATGAGAGATTTGAGGTTTCCAACACGAGATTGTCAAATCTTCCATTCTCCACTTTGCTGGGCAGTTCAGGGGGGTCATGTCTCTATGATCAATACACTTCTTCAATCTGGCGCTGATATTCATGGGGAATGTGCCCACCATCGCTGTGATGCACAGCTTCTTGGCCAGGCCGCAAGGAATGGCCATTTGAATATGATGAAAGACCTCGTACGAAGAGGTCTCCGTCCAGAGATTATGTGGGAAACCACTTTCGCTAATTTGATAAATGACGAGCCATCACGCAAAGCCACTCTCCGTCTGGCTGCTGAAGGTGGCCATATCCCATGCGTGGATTACACTCTTGCTACGGGAGAGTATGAGAATCTCACTTGCAAACAATACATGCACAAAATAGCGCTGATTGTGCCTGCCATAGTGGCAAACGGTCATATAGAGTGTGCCCTGTTTTTGCTGAGTCGCAGTGGTATTCTTGAGAGAACTGGTTTCTGTAACTGTGGCGGCAAGCCTGCTAGGTCTCTAGCTTCCGATCTTCCCAAACTGGCTATGGCACTGGAGGATCCACACACCATGGAGAAGTATGGCCCTATGCTTCTTTACCTAGGGGCTGCTACTGGTTGCTCACCCTTGGTTGAAGAGATGGTTCGATTGGGTGTTCATGTTGATACAAGATTTCGCGGGGGCAACACGCCGCTCTGTCTTGCAGTAATAGAAGCTCGAGCACCCGAAGAAGTAAAGAAGCTGTTGGAGCTAGGCGCCGGAATCAACGTGGGGAACTCGCAGAATCAGACACCACTCTATCTTGCAACTCTACTCCGGCTCAAGCGAGTTATGAAGATCCTCCTGGATGAAGGTGCCGATACTGAAGCACACGGGACTCGATCCAGGATTGCTCAAACACCACTTTGCCTCGCTGTTGCCGACTTTGGCGTTCCCGTATCGAATATAAACTACTCGAGACGCTCTAGCCGCTCTCCTAGCAACGAGATTGTGTCATTGTTGTTGGAGAATGGTGCTAACCCCAACTATGCCGATCCAGAGTTTGGAATCACCCCTCTCTGGCTTGCTGTTCGGGGACACAGTATGCTTCGGCCGTTTAGTAGGGATGATCTTGTGCGGTTACTTCTCGAGAAGGGCGCAGATCCGAAACTAGCATCGCGAAATCAGTCAATCTTGTTCTGGGCTATATCACACTGCCACTACAATACTATCAAGATACTTCTTGACTGCGGTGCCAATCCTAATGACTATGCGTGCAATTTCGATGGCTCAAAAACCCACCACTCAGGGAAACCGCTCTCACCTCTGGCGAAGGCTATGAAGCTGAAACATTATGAAATGGCTGAGCTTTTGCTTGATCACGGGGCAGATCCTCTTGCTTCACATTGGAAGAAGGAAACATCAATGCTTCATGCGACCAGATCAATGAACTGCTCATTCATCGAAAAGATGATTGCCACGGGCCTAGATGTGAATGAGTCCGTGATGGGCCAGACACCTCTCCATATGGCTGTCTGGCAAGGCAACGTTGAAGTGGCGGAACTACTGCTTCGTCGGGGAGCAAATCCGAATCTCACTGTTGGGGGAACCTCATGCTATTCATCAAAGTCAATTTTGTGGTGGGCTTTCTATAGTTCCTATCCAAGTAGTGCAGCTATGGTAGAGCTGCTATGTGCGTATGGTGCCAGGGAGCTATATGATACTAATGTTTACATGGATGGACACCCACGGAAATTTGTTCCTCCAGTCTCGGGATACCTATAATATGACAGAGGATGCATGTTTCTAATGGTTTCCCTTGCGGATCATAATAGCCCATAAGGTAGCTCTGCTATAGCCTGGCAGCCGATTCGGCTGTGGCCCAAACACATCAACCAAAGACATGTACCATATCTAGCTCTAAGGGTAGGTGCGATGCGAATACATAGGGATAAAACAAACATAAAACAATACCGATCTTTTGCTCGTTATTCTTGGCTCAATGACTATTACATTGTTATCTTGACAGGTAAAAGAAACAAGAGAAAGAAAAAAAAATTAATGAAACCATGAATAGGAGAAAGCGGCACGCAGCTCGTTCTCTGCCGACATTGGGTCAGGTTTGAGCCAAGAAAAGCCCCCTGGTGACACGCGGAGGGTAACGTAAAGAACATGAAATGAAATAAGATGAGCACCAGGGGAGAACGTGCACGCCAGGGGTAATATTTTTTACACAGAAAGACCGCAAACACCGTCGTTGTTCGAGATTTACTCGGGCTTCTTGCCGACCATGAGGTACATGGGGGTGAAGAGGTTCTTCTGAGCACCTTCGACAAGACAGTCAGCAGCCAGGGCCAGGCTGTCGGCGGTCTTCTGGGAACCCTTGGGGAAAAGACCGATGGACTCGCCGGCACCGACGAAGCGGTGGGCAAGGCCACGGCCCCACCAGGTCATGCGAGCAATAGTGAAGAAGTCCCAGGGCGAACCCATGTGCTTGAAGGAGCCCGCCAGCGGGTAGTACCAGGGGATAGGGTCGGGGCGAGCAGCGAGATCCTCGTGGTGCTTGAGCTCAAATCCAGCGTTCTTCATAGCCTCGAGACCCTCGGAGATACGGACCATGTTAGAGATACCGTCACCCTGCTCAATACCGAGACGGATGCGACGGTGCTCGGCATCATCGTTGTTATAATCGTCGGTCATAAGCCACTCGTACACAGCGAAGGTACCACCGGGCTTTAGGACACGGAAAATCTCGCTGTAAACACCAACCAGCTCGGGGGCGTGAACGGTGGCTTCAATAGCGTACACGGCATCAAAACTGTTATCGGGGAAGCTCATCTGCATGAAATCGCCCTTAACGAAGGCCATCTTGTCCGAGAGACCTTGCTTGTGCGCGTAGTGGGTAGCGCGGTCGATCTGGTAGTCGTTGTTGTTCAGACCGGTGACGTGAGCACCGGTGAACTTGACCATCTCGCGGGCAGGACCACCGACACCACAGCCAACATCCAGAACCTTCATATTCTCCGTAATACCAGCCTGGAGGGCAAGGTAGTGCTCGTGGCGGGCAATGGCCTGGTGGAAAGGCTCACCGTAGGCGAAGCGGCAGAAGTGGAAGGAAGAACCCCATCCGTACTCGTAGAAGTCGGTGGCCAGGTTGTAGTAGCTGTAAAGAATCATCAGTATAAGGAGCGTCAATGGGGGTTGTTTCTGAACATACTGTCGGGTCAAGGTAGCATATTCAGCCTTGCGGGCCTATCACGCAGGAATTGTTAGTGATAGGAATCAATTGTGTTGGATGCGCAGTGCCATACCTCACGGATCTCGGGTGTCTCATCAGCGGCATTTTGGTTGTCCCAGTGCTTGAAGTACTCGTCGATGGCGGCCTTCTGGGCGGCGGCGTCCTTTCCGCGCATGGCAGCGAGGCCACCCTGAGCCTTGGCAGACTTGCCGTGCAGAGCTTTGTTGAAGGCGGCATCACGCGCCTTATCCTCACGTTCCAATGCAGAGGGAGCCATGGTGAAGAAGCGAGTCGTAAGTATTAAAAAGGGGTAGATTGTAAAAGAGTCAAACAGGTGTCAATTTCCAAGATTTTCCAAGAAAGAAAGACAAGGTGAACCGAGACTGGAAATATCACAAGAGAAGCGAAGCAAGAGAGTACAATTGAAGGGAATGGATAGCGACTTGGAGAAGTAAAAGAAAGGGGAAATAAATAAGAGTCGAATCCCAAGCAACTTTTTGGCAATCCAAAGTGGAGAGCCAATCAGGGGGTTCCTCCGAACGACTAGACCGAGCTTTGTCCTCTGGGGGGTGCAATTTGGGGAGTGGCCACACTCTTTTTTTCTCGCGGGACACCACCTTCCGGCCTGTGGCTGAGTCGGACACTGGCCACCCGGTGGAAAAAAAGGTGACCTGAGGGATCATGTTCACGTGACTCACTAGCCACACTGTGCCACACGCCACTTTCCATCGATCTTGATAATCCAATCTTGGAAGCTCTCACTTCTGGGATTAACTAACCACATACCATCCGAGATGCCTCCTCAAATTAAGCATGACTTGAACCGATCCGGTTGGGAGTCGACAGACTTCCCCTCTGTTTGTGAGAACTGTCTTCCCGAAAATCCCTACGTGCAGATGATCAAGGAAGATCATGGCGCAGAATGCAAGATTGTGAGTCTCTTTTTTTGGACTCCCTCGAAGCTAGTTCATGATCACTAACTAACTAACGACTTAGTGTACGCGCCCTTTCACTATATTCCGATGGAAGGCCGATCGGACCTCCCGCCAAAAGCGATCCATCATCTGCCTCACATGCGCGCGCCTGAAGAACTGCTGTCAATGCTGCATGCTAGATTTGTCGTTCGGTCTTCCCCTTGCCGTCCGTGATGCCGCTCTCAAAATGGTCGCCCCAGGACCGGAAAGCTCCATCAATCGCGAGTATTATGCGCAGAACAACGAGAAGGAAATCGAAGAGGGACGCGGTGCCATCGAAGAATATGAGAAGACAGACGACAAGGCCCGGGAACTTTTGCGACGCCTTGCAAACAGCGAACCATATTACCGCAAGCCCCGGCGAATCGAAGCATCTGCCGAGGAAGAGAAAGTAGAGGAAGATACGGCGACGGATCAACCACGGACAAACAGCCGCTATGGAAATGGGCCTGGTCCAGTTCGCACTAGTGAAAGCCGTGTCGGAAACCGCCTTCCAGGCCGGGGAGGACGAGGCGGTGGTCGTGGTGGTCGCCCATTCCCCAGTACCACTCAGTTGCCGCCCTCGGCTGCGGATATTCTTCCCCCTGCGGATCCCAACGTTACTTCCTTGTTCATCACAGGCGTGGAAGATGATCTCCCCGAACATGCACTCCGCACATTTTTCAGCAAATTCGGCCAGCTCCGGTCACTTATTTGCTCCCACCGCTCTCACTGTGCTTTCATCAACTACGTCAACCGTGCGGACGCCGAAACCGCCGCAAACCACTGCCAAGGCAAGGCCATCATCCAGGGCTGCCCTCTTCGTGTTCGCTGGGGAAAGCCGAAGCCATTGGATAACCTGGACCGTGAAGAGAGAATGCAAAATGCTCGCGAGGGTCGCCAGACGGTGGGATCTGTTGGCAAGGGCAAGCAAGCAGACCGACGAGCTATAACCTCTGCGGGTGAGGGTGCTGGCCAGGAGAAAGCCCAGCCTCATGTTGTTGCACCGCCGCCTGGATCGGGTGAGGTCCAGTACGCCAGCATGAATGGCGATTGAACAAAATCTGTACGGAGATACCATTAAATCAAATCGAGGTTGCATGTAACTTAGGGTTCGGAGCGGGCGTTATCAAGGATTGGGTTATTCTATGCAGATCTATGTACTTCAATCGAAAATACCCCGAAGACGCCAATTAATAAAAGAGTCGGGTATCTTATAATACATGTCCGGTCACTGCCGTAGCTTATTTTACTGTCATGTGCTGTCAGTTCGACATAGGTTCACAGACTGGCTTCGACGTTATTGTCAGCGTCGTTTTTGGACTTTGAGTGGACTCGGAGAGTGCGCCCAGATTCAACTGAGCATCGTAGTAGGTAAAACAATATCCCATCATGACGAGCAAGCCTTGTGAATCTTCACATCCTTATCACCAACTTTGATAGAGTCGTTGTCACCGCGTTCGATCTGGTCGTGGATATTGAGTTCTATAGAAACAATCGGTCGTTAGTAAACAGTTTGTACGAGCACTACGACGCCCAAGCCATGGAGTGGAATTGCGAGATTCATGAAACACATACCCCACTTAGCAGCTTCATCTCCCTGGTCTCTCGAGCCTTGGACGATGTTGTGGCGCAGGATGTTCGCAACCTCGATCGCATGGTTGATTTGCATTCCGGTATCGACGGCCGGGCGACGGTTCTTTTCGAAGTTCTGGCGCGCTTCTTGGCGTGCAGCAAGGAGGACTGGGAGATCGTCTATAACGGAGGTCAGTATGAATGAAACAGATGCCTCGGTGGCGGGTGTGTTTGTCAAACGAACTGTGGAAGACAACCCGGGTAGACCGGAGAAGTTGCCGATAGGCACTCTTAGCGGCAGCAGCAGTGGAGGTGGTCATAGTGAAAAGCGGAATGTGAATATCACAGAGAAGTATAAACGTGAGTGTATGAAGGAACAGGTCGAGAAGCACAGGTTGCAAATCGTCACCGCGGATGATCGGCACGGACAAGGAGATTAGATGAGGTTATAGGCAGTACAGCAGGTGCGATGTGGGAGTTACAATTGCCTGAACAAGAATGCAGATCAACCAGACCAGAAAATTTGAATGTACAAGTCAACAGAAGAAGTAAGGCCTGGCGCCATCGCCAATCTCGATACTCCAGACCATATGTCCTGTGATTGGCCGGAGGGGCGGATATTGGGGGCAGAAAAAAAGGTATGCAAAAAATTCCATCGCGGGACCCAACGCTCTCCACACACAACTTGGTACCATCACCAATACCATTATACAATGGCTGCTGCTCAAGTTGTTGACATTTCCCTCCCTACCTTGCCTCAGGGCTGGGCTGGTGAGAAGGATTTCAAGATTGTCGGTGCTCTGTCCGGTGCCTCCAAGCGCAACGTGGAGCCCGTTGGCCCGCACTTCCTGGCTCACGCTCGCCGAGTAAGTTCTCCAAATTCACGAAACTTTCTGTTTGAGTCAAAATTAATCGCCTTTTAGTCCCGTCACAACCGTACCTTCTCCGAGGATGAGCGCCTCCAGGCCCAGAACAACGTCAAGAAGACTGAGACTGAGGAGGATGATGATATCTCTGAAGATGAGGACCCCATGATGCTTGCCCGTGAGGCCAAGGACTGGAAGGTCAGTAATATCATATCTATCTTGGTTGGTTATTTTCTAACTCCTAGCAGGGCCAGGATCACTACGCCGTTTTGGGTTTGAAAAAGTACCGCTGGCGCGCAACCCCCGAGCAGATCAAGCGGGCTCACCGCAAGAAGGTCCTGCGTCACCACCCTGACAAGAAGGCCGCCCAGGGTAACACCGACGAGAACGACAGCTTCTTCAAGTGTATCCAGAAGGCCACCGATCTGCTTCTCGACCCCACTCGTCGTCGCCAGTTCGATTCCGTGGATGAGAACGCTGACGTTGAGCCCCCCACTAAGAAGCTCACTGGTAGCAAGTTCTACAAGGCCTGGGGCCCTGTTTTCGTTGCCGAGGGCCGCTTCTCCAACAAGCAGCCTGTGCCCACACTCGGAGACGAGAACAGCACCCAGGAGCACGTCGAGACTTTCTACAACTTCTGGTACAACGTTGACAGCTGGAGGACTTTCGAGTACCTCGATGAGGATGTGCCTGATGATGGAGAGAGCCGTGACCAGAAGCGTCATGTCGAGAAGAAGAACGCCAACGCCCGCCGCAAGCGCAAGACTGAGGACACCGTCCGTCTGCGTGAGCTCGTTGACGAGTGTCTCGCTTCCGATGAGCGTATTAAGAAGTTCCGCCAGCAGGCTCGTGCCGGTAAGGACGCTAAGCGCCTTGCCAAGGAGGAGGAGATGCGCCGTCTCAAGGAGGAGAAGGAGAATGCTAAGGCCGCTGAGGAGCAGCGCAAGAAGGACGCCGAGGAGGCCGCCAAGGCTGAACGTGAGAAGAACAAGAAGGCCAAGGAGGCTGCTAAGAACGCTTCCAAGAAGAACAAGCGTATCCTCAAGGGTTCCGTCAAAGAGGTCAACTACTTCGCCGCCGGTGAGCCCACTGCCGCTGATATCGACGGTGTCCTCACCGATGTCGACCTCATCATGGGCAAGATTGATGTCGATGAGCTCGCCGCTCTGGCTGAGAAGCTCACCATCGCCGGCACTGATGGCGCTGCCGTCAAGACTGCTTGGTCTGGTGAGGCTCAGCGCCTTGTTGATGCTGGCAAGCTGAAGGCTGGCGAGGCCAAGGTCTTCGTTTAAATATTCTTGTCTACCAGATAGATGAGGGGTAGCCTATATACCTAGGCTTTCCTGATCATGACTATTCACGCCACATAGAGTAGAAAAATACATGGTGCTCTTATCTCAACGCAGTGTAGCATCTATCATTCGTAATTATTGTCTTGCTCCACATGGTCCTCCTCGATCCCGCGCTCTCCACCTAGCAGAACCGTTGGCTTTGAGACTACGGACTGTGTCCAAATTCCAAAGTTACTATATTCAGCCAACTGCATATTCGACCACTCCCAGGCACGTGATTGGTCGTGGATCGAGTATCGCCTCGCTTTCTGATAATCTGTTTCCAGGCTCATGTTCCCAGTGACGGGTCTCAAACAGGCCGTCTACGTGGACGTGATGGACGTCTCTGGCGAGGGTTAGTATGTTTAAAAGTGAACACAGATGATTTTATCATATTAATTAGTGGAGGTACTTAGAGCGACAGGAACCCAGTCTTCGGAAGATTATACGAGTCGCCGAGAACAGGTTGCTTAAATATGGACGCTCCCAAAATATAGAGCTTGAAGCCGAGAATATGCGCTATATTGCCGAAAACACGACCATCCCGATTCCCCGTGTTCACGAGATCCAAATCCACGGTGGTGGCGTTAAATCTATCTTAATGGACTATATCGAAGGTCAAACGCTGCAGGATGCTTGGTCTAGCATGATTCCATCACAAAAAGTGTCTGTCGCACAGGAACTCCACGGATATATACAGCAACTACGGGGACTAAAGTACGAACAGTCCGGAGCTTTCAGTCATAAAAATATATATACTCGACATTCAATCCACCTCGATGAGTACCTATTTTCGAGATTGACCACCGCAGTCCCAGATTCCGTGCGAAATACTACAGCCATTAAACAGCCGGAGGATAACATGGTTTTCACGCACGGTGATCTGGCACCGAGAAATATACTGGTTGACGATCATGGCCATGTCACTGCAGTGTTGGATTGGGAGCTTGCAGGCTGGCAGCCTGAATGGTGTGAAACTGTGAGAGCGTATACGTTTTGCAACGATATTCCTGGCTGGACTGCCTATCTATCGGCTGTTTTTCCGCCAGATCATGCCACGGAGTATATGGCTGTGGCATTTGCTAGACATATGACACGATGAATTTGATGCAATATATGTATCTAAGCAAAGTCTATTTTGGAAGCTATCATATCATTCCCCTCTCACCTCCGGTAGTCTATACTCCCACCGGAAACAGGCCTATTCTGGAAAGAGACGCGAAGAAGGACTGAGAACAGACCCCAAAATGGGGGTGAGGCTGAAGTAACCCGAGGATGGCTCAGGCATCCTTCTGTGATAAAGAAGAGCTAGGAATTATTACGAAAATCACCGATTGTGGTCATACTGCTTTGGTCTGTATGTACATCGAGGATGAGTCCAGTGATTAGTCCTTAATCCCCCAGGACACATGTTACTCCTAGCTTTCAATATATTCCGAGATAATGTAATCCTAACCCCCCCGGCAAAGAATATGCCAACCGCGGCCCAATTTCCAAGAGTTTCATGATTATTGCCTAGGCTTCATGATTATTGATCGAGCCTGTATACCCAGCTGAAAAGCCGAGGCGTGGACTGACATATAAGTCATCAACATATCTCAGCAAGTAACGAAGTAAACTGCAATCCAGTTCATCCCCAACGACCACAATGATTTTTGACCCAGACACTATCGACATTCCCAAGTCTTACGAGGCTCTTCCATTGACCGATGTCAAAGTTTCCCACCACCCGGCTGGGGCTGCTGAAGCTACCCCTGTTGTTGTGGTGACACTGAACCGACCGGAAAAGCACAATTCATTCACTCTTGAGATGATGCATGTGTTTGAGAAGATATACCCTATGTTTGATGTCGATGAACGCGTCAAAGTTGTGGTGCTTACCGGTGCTGGCAAAATGTTTTGTGCTGGTGCAGATCTTGAGCGAGGGTTCAGTGGAATGGAGAAGGAAAGAAACAGGGATCACCGTGATAGGTAAGATAACGAAGTTTCAGCTGAGAGGTTATGTACCAGCTCCGCTAATGCCGATATCAATAGCGGTGGCCGTCTCGCCTTAGCCATTCACCGCTGTCGCAAGCCTACTATAGCCGCTATGCAGGGCTCCGCTGTTGGCTTGGGTATGACGATGTCTCTGCCGGCTGCCATACGTATTGGCTGCCAGAAATCTAAGTACGGGTTTGTCTTCCCACGACGGGGTCTGACGATGGAATCAAGCTCTTCATTCTTTCTCCCGCGGTTGATTGGCTACTCCAATGCTCTTTACTTGCTTACAACTGGCGGAATCTTCCCGCCCACATCGCCGCATTTTGGGACGTTGTTCCAGGAGACATACCCTGATCCAAACCAGGTAGTCGCACGTGCATTGGAGCTTGCCACGGAAATTGCGGAGAATGTTAGCCCCATGGCCTCATATCTTTCGCGAGAACTCATGTGGCGGAACCCAGGGAGCGCCGAAGAGACTCACCTAGTTGACTCGGCGGTGTTATACCATATGTTTAGTGGGAGGTATGCTTTCTTCAACTCGTTTCATCAAGCATTCTTCGAAAAATTCACAAGACAAGAAGCAATACTGACCATGTTATAGGGACTCAAAGGAAGGCATCAAAGCATTCTTCGAGAAACGAAAACCAAATTTCAATGCAACTCTTGAGGGTGATGCACCGCCCAGCTTTCCTTGGTGGTCTGATGTTGATATCGGGAGACGCCCGAAGGGAAGCAAGTCGAAACTGTAGGCAAGGGAGACTGCTGTTTACCAGCCCAGAATGTGCACGCATAGGTACGGGGGACAGACCTTGAGGAGTAAGATAGTGTAACTAGCCTGAAATATGACAGTGAGTATTCTTGGCACAGCCATGCAAGAAACGAAGAGATCTCCACATAATAGTAAACCGAAGTGAATATTCGTCCTGGTGTGCCTTTAGAAATACCCTCTGGCTGAATCTCATGGATACAGAGCGAATGTATCCCGAGAAATCAAGCGGGTCCGGGATGCGTCGGAACTCTTTTTAGCCGCATTCCCTCTAAGATAAAGTTGAAACTGAATCTATGCAACAGCCCCTCATTTATGGTCTCCATAATTTCTAGCTCCATCTAGCTCCACTTGTGGAACTCAACATCATCTCATATTTCAAGTTCTACGAAACTATACCACTTCGTAGACGTCAAACTGCTTGGGGCCACATCAGACAAAGGTGGTGGCCATCACGACAGCATCAACAAAAAAACATGACCGTTTGATGTATAAATAAGTAGCCCTAATTTGATATCAGATTATTAAATGATGAATAGCTGATTCTTCATGAACTCTGCCACGGCCTCCTTCCCATCACTTCAGATCCGGATGCGGTCCTGAACACAGAAGTCGACGATGGCATTGGATGTAGAGACACTGGGTCCTGGAGATTACCATCTCGCTGCTCGGAGCGCTCTTTAATCCAGGGCCGGAGGTTGAACACACCGCCGCAGATAAATATACCCACCCAAAGGGTCAGTTCAGTTCCGTAGATAATTATCCCAAGAACATCAATAGTTGATCCAAATACTGCTTGCATATTAGCCATTGACCATCTCTACCTGATGACCAAGTTGACTTACAGACAGAGACGAGCGAAAACAAGTCACCAGCAGCATCAATTCCAACAAATATGAAGCTGATTCCTCGAACAGTCCGGTGGACATAAATATCCCAGTAATGTCTCAGTACGCCTGCTGCAAGTAAACCCGCACTTAGAACTGCCATCACGATAAGAGGCCATTCCAGTCCTCGGCTCTTTGCAGCCCGCAAGGCAAATATAAGTCCAGCTTCAATGCCGCCTAACAACAGCAGAAGCGAGGTGACGGCGACACAGCACTTCATGATTCGGTATTTCTGAGTTTGCGTGAGTATCACAAGGATCATGTGGGATAGAAGAAGAGATTTTTACCTTTCCATAGTAGAGACACTGTGCCCAAGTAAGGAGACTGAGTGTTGTCAGAATTTGGGGCTGAATCCTTAGGGCAATGTTGAATTCTTCGACAATGTTGTACACCCCAAGGGGAACCCCTGCGACGGCCCACAGGAGCATCATTGACCCTTGTAGCCCTTCAGTGTCATGTCTCCTATAATTGATGATTATTTGGGGAAGGAGCTATACAAAGGGATTAGCGTGAGTCCAAGGATAGCTGGTATATAGCAACCACATACTTGGATAGACCAGCAAACCTAGAAAGAATAGTTAGTTTGGTCTACTAATCGGGAAAATGGAACTCACTGCGCCCAGAGTACCGAGAACATTCTCCGCGACTCGATTGTCCATTTATAAGAGGCTCCGTGATTGGAGGGAAGGACAAATCTTGGAGGAGCCTCCAAACGACATCTGATAAGAATACATTTGTGACACGTGAAAGTGGGTCCATTTCCTCGAATTCTCATTGGATAAGTATCATGAACTGCCCTGCTACGACGATCAAAGTCGCATCTCTCCCTACGGAGTAGTTCGAGTAAGGTTGCTTATACCATTAACGGGCAAGATGCTATTCAATAGTATTTCCTTTGTTCATATGGGCGGGTTATCCAGTGTTCTGTGAGCATGTCCCATATTCCACATTTCACCCCCAGATTCTATATCCCCTATCCCCCAGAGAAATTTAGCGCCATGTGTGATTAGTAAAAGGAGTAATAAAGACTCGAGTACTCCGTCAAAAGAATGAATATTCCATTTAGATTTTTTTTCCCTCCTTATCTGTTTGATTTGACAGGGTTGTGAGTAAAATAGATTGCGACATGAGTGGAGGCGTTGGTGATCAGACCCTGAAAGCTAAAGGAGTCTAAACAGTTAGAGTCCAAGCTGAAGGATGCCGATCGGACTTCATATCCAGTCACTAATACTCCGTAGTGAAAAGCCAGCCAAAAGTTGTGGGTTAGTAAATTTACGTTTGGAGTATACAGCATTTCTGATATGCTATGTTTCAGTTGAAATATCCTACAAGTTACCTAATGTTATTAGAATAGTAAATATATGAAAGGTGAGATTAAACGACACAGAACCATGGCCATGTCAAAAAGAACCTTGGAAGATTCGAAGGTTTCTCTGCCGATCCGATAAGAAATTTCATATTTTTATTGTTTTACCCTATTTTGGTCGGCTTAGTACAACGGTCGGCTGAAAGGTCCGCATGGTTGCCACCTGTGCCACCTTATTTTTGGATATCCAGCCATGTTTTTATACTTGCAGTGTGATCAAAATAGAACGAATATCAACAGAGAAATCTGGTATGCAGTAAGATTGCCTGAATCTGAATCCTTGGAGAAGAGTACGTACGCATCTGCGTAAGATGGGTGTCCCAGCCCCCCCACAGTAACCCGAATAGGACTAAATGATAATCGACCCGGGATGATATCATCAGGAATGAAAACCCGTTGTCGGGGGGTTTCCACATTGTGTATGGAGTACGGAGTGCATGTACGCGGACGGAGTATGAATTCCTGATTTATTAATATGCATGGCTGGGTTCAGCCGAAGTCAAAGTATCGACTCTCTGTATGGCGTGGGATGCCTTGAATATGAATATTTCGTCTCCTTGAAAAAAGGAAATTCGTAATTAAATCCTGGTGGGTCCATAATAAATTGTGGACATTTCCCCTGTCAGTCTTTCTAGACCCTGAACTTTTAAGAACAAGACCACCCACCCTGCTCTCTTCTACTTGAGCTTCTGCAGTTGTTTCGCCCTCTCAATCAAACGCACCCACAATCTACATTCGTTCCCAAGGCACCATGGTCTCTACTCTTCGCCTCTGCCTCCTGGCCGTCACTCTATTCTTCAACTTCTCCTCCGCATTCCCCCTCATCAGCCGCGAGGTTCAATGGTCCTTCACCCTTTTCCCGTCACCCTCATGTAACGGAACTATCGGTGACCCTCACGTCGGATCTGGCAGCACAGGCTGTCGCGCCGATCTCCACAGCGTTGCCTCTGCCTACACCCTGAACTCTGTCGCCGAAGGCTGCCGCATCGAGTTGTTCGATAACACCATGTGCGATCAGAACGAACTCTCCGACATTGCCAGCCAAGCCAATGCCACCCAAACCTGCCACATAGCTGGAACAAGACGCCGCTACGGTTCATACCAGGTCACCTGCGCCTGAACATTTTCAACTCTCTTTTTCTCGAATGTCACTGTTTGAAACAGTGAAGGATCGCGAGCGGGCTCCTAGATCCTATGCGCAATTTATTCTGGAGCCCATTGGAAGATCGATTGGGATCCCTCGGTGGAACAGGATATGTATAGACTTTTTAATGATACCCTTAGATTAAATGAAATGAGTTTACGATCATCAATATTTCCAACCTTGAAGTATTTTCCTGCTATTTACTCGTCGATGGCGTTCCAATTCACGGCAATCGCTGGTCTGTGGTTGTGCTTTGGTATCTGCGATCAGGTGGCTTGTGTCGAAGGCCGATGCGACGCAAATATTGCGAAATTAATTTGATAAATTTGTGAAATTGAGTTGTCACAAAATCGGTGCACTATCTCACTCACTTTACAGCGACGAACTTTTACTTTGCATACGTTGCCCCCCGCAAGCTGACTACATGGATCAAGTGACCGGGGGGTGAAACTAGGACGCGCAATGGCGGGTAGCCTGATACACCAGGTATCAATTTCCGCGCGACGCGCCAAGTTAATTAAACTAATGATGAAACACTTCATTGGGAAGATTGCTCTCAATATTAGAATACGACGCACACAGGTCACGACAGATCCAGCTTTATGGTTAACGTCTAGGATATCATGTTTACAAGGGACTAAATTCCTGCAGCACTCTTGTGCGGTAGGTATAGTTACTTAGAGCGCGGCTACAACTTTTATCTTGCTGATAAAACTCTGCAGACTTACCTTAGTATATATAACTATGGCTTTTGTTTTCCAGAAGTCATTAGATCATCTCATTTTCGGAGTTAAGGTACTTTCCAAAAATGGATAAACCCCGAGGGAATCTACAATGCCGCAAGCGGATGAGCACCTGCGCAGCATTCCTCGTGAAGTTGTTAAACTTTTAATATGATCTAATCGCAATTTCCCGTAGTCACACATTCTCTACAATCTGTTCAATTATGACAGTAAAAGTCGAGTCATTGGGCGATGGGACCAGCCCAACCGCGCCTGTATCGTTCTTTGATCCCTCTCTCAAGGAGGTTCGACAGCGGGTATTCTACCAATGGGCTCGCACTTGTAAGCAAACATCCAAAATTTGGGAACTCGCGGAATGAAAGAGAAAACTAACAGAGATCATCAGTATTAATGTTATGTGTCTTCGTGTATGGTGTGCTATCTCTCTTCTGGGGAGCCCAATATGGCACCGAGGCCAAGTACCCAGCGTTGAAGGTATGGGTTGTCAATTTCGACGGCCAAGTTGATCCATATCGCTCCAACGACACCATAGTTGGTTCAGCAGCTACGGATGCCACCAACAGAATTCTGCAGTCTGACGGCTTCCACCTCGGCTACACTATCAAATCCCCTGCCGACTTCAACTATGATCCTTCGGCCGTGCGCCAGGCAATTTACGATGAACGTGCCTATGCCGCCGTGATAGTCCAGCCCAATGCAACAACGCTGCTGCGGGATGCAGTCTCCAAGGGCAATGCGGCCTACGATCCGAGCGGTGCCATCGAGACAGTCATCCTCTCCGCGCGTGATGAAGCAACATACTTCACCTATATCCTACCCGACCTGGCCATACTACAAAACATGGTTCTAGCAGAGTTTGGCACGCAATGGGTCCGTTCTCTGACCTCATCCGTCAGCAACCTGTCATCTGTGCCCCCACAGGCAATTAACCCGGGCATTGGGTTCACGACCGTCGATCTACGTCCTTTTGCCCCAGCTGTCGCTTCGCCTGCCGTGACCATCGGTTTGATCTATCTGATTATTATTGCGTTCTTCAATTTCCCATTTATGATGCCTATTCATGCCCAATTCATGAAACCCGATGGTCACCCGCCGCTGAAAGTGCCGCATTGGCTCATTTGGCGCATTCTCTCGAGCATCGTGGCCTACTTTTTCCTCTCGCTGTGCTACTCACTCGTGTCTCTGACTTTCAAGATCCCATTCAGCAACGACTCTGCGTCAGATATTCTGCCCGCAAATAATCCCAATGCCTATGGTCGTGGCTCATTTGTCGTGTTTTGGATGTTGAACTGGGTTGGCATGGCTGCTTTGGGGTTCCCCTGTGAGAACATGGCAATGATTCTTGGGTTCCCATGGAGCGCCTTATTCCTTATCTTCTGGGTTATTACGAATGTTGCGACAGGATTCTATGCCATTGATTTAGCCCCGAACTTCTATAGATGGGGGTATGCATGGCCGTTACATCGAAGTAAGTTTCACCCTCATCGTGTCACGGTGCTCTGTTGGTGATGGTTAAACTTACGTTTCTAGTTGTTGATGCTATGCGAACCATCGTTTTCGATATCCATTCGCGCATTGGATTGGACTTTGCTGTTCTGTTCATTTGGATTGCAGTATCCTTGGCCTTTTATCCTTTCGCAGCCTTCATCATGCGGTGGAGGGTGAAGCGGGGGGTATAAAGCAGGATCAACTAAAAGTGATTAGACAGCGAATAGGTAGGGACAGCCCATGAAGACTGCCAGTGTACTACCTCGGATTTTCCCTGTAGTATAGTTTAATATTAGTATATTTTATAATTGAGTACTCCCATCTAACCACATATATTGACATTGATATTGACATAGTTATTCATGCTCATGTATAAAACTTGTTTGATTTGACTGTAAAGGTTGCTTGAGCACACATACAGGTGCAAGGTCCATTCAGGTGAGGTGTATATGCCCCATACTATGGCAGTCTTAATGTTGGAAGTGATACGCTAGGGAGGGAACTTTCAGGCGAAAGGGTCTAAGTGCACGTGGTTGTGCGCGTGGTTGTGCAAGTCCAGCTCTAAGATTCTTCTTCCTCAAGAGGTACCTCTTCCACCCGCAAAACCTTTTGCTAACAGCATGTCACTCAAGAGTATCCTTAATTCTCTAGTACGCGTTTGTCGCAGTGCTTTTATTGACTTATTGAGATACACGCGCCTTCTGAAAGGTACCTGTTAGCCCTATCAATATGGCGCACAGCCCAAGTACTTTCACTCTTATAGACATAGCTGGTGAAAAGATCAATGTACCCGGGACCTAACCGTGTGGGATGCATCGCTCTCTGGTCCACTACCTATTTATCGACTTCTTCCTGTCCCTCTTTCTTTCTCTCTTCTTTCTCTCCCTGCTGCAACCTTCTCTGTTTTTGTTTCTCATCGTTCATCTTCTGCCATCGACCTAGTTCAATGGCTCCTCTCAACCCTCATCGGCAGGCGTTCTTCGCCATAAGAGCGCGCGCTACAATGGATCCCGATTTCCAGTCCCGTCGCAACCCACATGAGCGTCGTCGTCGCGCCCTTGCTAAGCTAGATGAAGCTCCCTTTAGCTGGCCACATATTCACACCGTTATCATCGCCGGACTTGGGCTCTTCACTAGTGCTTATGAAATTTTCGCCATCAATATGGCGGTCACCATGCTCGGCATTGTCTATTGGCAGGGGAAAGACTCTGGTTCTGGTAAAGTTCCTTTCAGTATTGAAGCTGCTATCAAGGTCGCTACTCTTTCTGGTGCTGCGATCGGACATCCCCTCTTCGGTTGGCTCGCAGACCGTATTGGCCGCAGACGCGTGTACGGCTATGGACTGGTGGTCATTATTTTCACTACTCTGGGTCAAGTTGTGTCCTCTTCCTCTCGTTCCCTTACTATGAGTGGTCTTTTGATCTTCTGGCGAGTGGTCATGGGTGTTGGAATTGGCGGCAACTATCCTGTTACTTCCTTGATTACTTCTGAGTAAGTCTTCCTGTTTCCATTTTCACAAAGAGACAGCAGCTGACTAGACAGATTTGCTACTACCAAGTGGCGTGGTGCCACGATGGGTGCCGTCTTGGCTATACAGGGTTTTGGCCAATTTGCAGCCGTCATAGTCGCCCTCGTTGTCACCGTTGGTTTCAAGCAATCCCTGGAAAGTGCCAAGGATATTTCTCACTGCACCGACGCTTGCCAGCTCGCTGTAGACAAGATGTGGCGTTTTACCATCGGACTAGGGGCTATTCCCGCCTGTTTTGCCCTCTTTTACCGTCTGGCGATTCCGGAGACACCGCGTTTTAGCTTTGATGTCACTCGCGATATAATTAAGGCCGATAAGGATGTTCGTGCGTACCTGAGAAAACGGAACGAGACCGGCATAAGGGAGCCACTTTACACCCCTCCTGTACAGATTGGTATCCCCGACTTTGGTCCCAAGGCTAGCTGGTCCGATTTCTACAGTCACTACTCCCAGTGGAAGCATGGGAAGGTTCTCCTTGGTACAACAGCCTCCTGGCTTTTCCTTGGCATTGGTAAGTCTTCAGAGGTAAACGGAAGTCCTCAATATTGCACAGGAGCTAACGTTGAATCAGCATTTTATGGTCTTGATCTGAATAACTCCATTACCATCGGTGCTATTAATTGGACTAATGCTAACAATATTTACGAAATTTTGTACCGAGATGCTGTCAGAAACCTCACCCTGATCTGCGGTGGTTCCATCCCCGGATATTTGGTTACCATCGCTACCGTTGACAAAATCGGACGCAAGCGTATTCAGCTTCTGGGATTCCTTATGCTCTCTGCCCTTTTCGCCGTTATTGGCCTTGCTAACCTGGACCTGAATGACAGTAGCCTACTAGCCCTTTACGCTTTGACACAATTTTGTTTCAATTTCGGACCCTATGCAACCATTTTCATCTTGCCCGGCGAGTGCTTCCCAACCCGCTATCGTGGTACCGCCCATGGAATCAGTGCAGCCGTCGGTATGATTGGAGCCCTTATCGCGCAGTGTGTCTTTCTTCCTCTTGTTTACCATGGTGCAAAGACACCTGGTGATGCGCCCTGGCTCAATCATGTTATGGTAATCTTCTCCGGGTTTATGCTTTGCGGTTTCGCAACCACCTTCTTAATTCCGGAGACCAGGCGTCAGAGCCTGGAGGTGCTTTGTGGAGAGGTGGACCCGCCCCCCCAAACCCAGTATGCATACGCCGGAGATGAAATCCCACTTCAAGAGATGGGCCCTTAGATCTTCCATGGGCGTTTTGCTGGGTTTGGGGGGCTGTTAGCCATCTTTGGTGGCTTTTAGCTCTCTCTCAAATAGCCCTTGAATTCTTCTCACATTTAACTAAGAATTTTATCGTAGTTCTCTCAGTAGTCCTCTCAGTAGTCCTCTTTTGTTAGATTCCAAGCTCTCATTTGCTCTCTTCATTGATATCCTCTATTTCCATTTACCATTCATTAGCTTCTTACCTTCCAGCAGCTCGCTGTCTCATATCCCCCATTCACCACCTATATATCGCATCTCAGCACATCCCGCTTCAATCCAAGGCTTTACCTACCCAATTCCATTGGCATCTCATCCTCCCCTCATCCAGATCGACCCGGCTCTGCACAACCACATATATGAGACAGATTGCTATACGGATTTCTATCATCCAAGTTCCTTTTAAGGGTCTTGTAGTGGCAGCTTGGTCTATGCTAGGCTCTACGAGACCGTTATAGTCCTTACTGGTGAGGCTAACTTCACATCAAGGTGCGCCACTCTTATGTACGGTCTCGATACCCACGACCTCAGCCCTCTGAGCTTCTTACCGACGCATACGCTGGGCTAGGTGCCCAGAATCCGTCCCCTTCCGAGTGGACTGAAGAGTATCGTATTCCTATTCCCCATCTTCACGCTACCATCCATGCATCAATCAAGGCATACTTCAATACTGCGCCTAACGCTTACGGCGTCCCCTAAAGCTTTCACAAGACCTTCACGGTTTCATGGCTATAACAATGGCTTTGAAACCCTCTATAATCGAGCCTCACTTAAGTACAATGGTCCCTACCACTTCACAAGATTCCATTATTGGGTGGCGTACTAGGCACGCCGAATTCGCCAAAGTGTGCAGTCACTCTAAAATTTCAAATTTCTTTTCATACTTCCTCTTCTTTGTGTTAACCAATCAATGTCACATTAGACCATGCATTTCCATGTGGCCCTCTCGGTAAGTCTCTCTCTTGTGAATCGGAAGGTCCGTCGATTTGAGGAACTATCTACATTGAGAAGAGTTCTAATCCGCAGCATCCTCTAATTCGAGAAAAGTCTGTTTAATGCTCTTTACTCTGATTTGTGTCCATGTCCCTTCATCTCAACACCATCTTTTTTTGTGGACCAGAATGTCCACGACCAGGATATGTGGGTTCGTTGCGCAGAAAGAATAATATAATAAGATTGCTAGTGGCTTTCCACGTGGTTGTAAGACTGTAGTTGGATGGTAGTACATACGGTGTAGATTATCTATGTGGATGCAGTGGCCAGGGTCATACCTGACTGGAACATTGTGAGACAGTCTTCGAGGTAAAGTTCGTTATTTAACCCTCAGATTGGTCTATGCAGGTACAGGCCAGAACTGGAGAGCCTTGGTAGTACTCTTAATGATGTGAGAGGATCGTACTGAGTAGAAATTACTAAATTACTCTATAGATAGCAATTGATCTTCCAGTACTTATTGTGGCACTTTGTATTCATATAGCAGCCTTGATAACGATCTTTCTCGATCAATGTTGTTTGCTTCCCTGTGAAACGTTGCCCGTTGCCACTACAAACATGTGCATCTCACGTTGTTTTCACAAACCTTCCAAGCTCTACTTATCGCTTGCCAATACTTTATCAGAGACAGTTTACCATGGCCCGCATGGTCACCTCCCCATGTCCAAGAGACAATGCGAATATCACAAACCCAAACGACACCCTTGAAGAGAAAAAGGCCCGCCACACCAGCCTAAGTACCAATCAGGACACGTTCAAACCCATCGGGTCTCCAGGACAACCAACAGATCTAGCGACTGAAGACTTTGAAATCGCGTCCGTACTGAAGCTCATCGCCGTCTCAGTCACTGAGCAGCGCCGCCTCGCCGTCAAGTCCCTCATCCTCCACCCGATCACTCTAACGCTGGTAGCCGTGGGTTTTGTTTACAGCGTCGGTGCCGTTTATCATGACCCATCTGGCTGGCCCTATATTGCCGTTATCTGTGTAACCACAGTATCGGCCACTTTGGGCATTGTTGCACGCTTGGCTGGGGAATATGAGAAGAAGGCTCAGAAAGTTGGAACGCTGAACTGGTTGTACGGGCTCGATCCTTGCAAAGAAGTCGACCCTACCACGACCCAGGAAGACCCCGTATTCAACACGGATAGCGGAGTTACGTTTGTACTTGTTCACCGATTCGGGGGCTGCATTGTCGGCACACTTGTTGTGAGCATCGTATACATCGGCATCCAGCCCCATCCAAAAGCCAACGGGACGACTCTCCCAACGGGCGAAACCTACGATGCTTTTATCCGTGCATGGACAGTACAAAAAGGTTTCCGTGGCTACGGCGTTGGAGCTGCGCTCCTGGACGAAGCTGTCATGATCTGCCATGAGCATAAGTGGAAAGGGCTCCGGTTCGCGAATTCTCATGCCAACTCGCTTCGAATCTTTCCCTGTATCTTTCATTGGGACATGGATCAGGCATCCGATATGTGGAGCTCATATCTGCGCAAACGGACTGAGGCTCATCGTCAATCCTGTGCTGTTCTGGAGACTCGACTACTCGATGCAGCGCCAATTACGAGTGATAGCCAGGATCCGATGATTGATACCCAGATGCGGTTGGTTTGTATCCAGGCAAAGCTAAAGGAGTTGGTCCGAAGTTACTTCAATGTGCGCCTTGAAAAAGCAGTCGAAGCTCAGACTCGGTGGAGGAAAATATCGTGATCAGTCACCTTTGGAGGTTATCTTGCTGTTTCTGGGTGTATTTTCGGTAGAGCTCAAGTGTATCAATTTTGGGATTCATCATCTGCTATTGTTATCGATCTACATGGGTGGTCCCTTTCATTGGGTGTTCTCATAGACATGATCATGATGATGGTGAGCCCATCCCTATTTTACAGACAAGACGTTCGCTAACTCGATACTTAGGTCGTCTGCATAGTCCATATCATCATGCGTCGGATTGAATGAGCTGTCCTATATGTGATTTTCAACTAAATTAACGAGGCACCTTTCCCTTTCTTCGGAAACTGATGCAATACCACCGGAAATTTCAGAATAGCATTGAATGAATATTTGGATATGTATTCTTAAATCTGAGCCCAGTGGGAATTCATTGTTTCGGCAATGGAACTCGGCTTACTCGTGCTCACGAGCCAGCCATACTGTGGACGTGGTTCCGAAGCCCAGCTTGCCGACAACCTGGTATTTGGATGCTAAGATATCACCAATATTGATGGGATAGTATTTCCCTTTCTTGAACTCTTCAAAGCGCTCTTCTTCTAGAATTTGTGAGGGATTGATTACTTCAAACCCACTTGTTGGAAACTGAAGTACTGGCGAGGGACCTCCTTTTATAGCTGTCCTAGCCCACCTGAGGAGTGAAGTCATAGTGAGTAGTCGTCGATAGGCTGAAGAAATAGACAGAAATTGAGGGTGAGGTCGGTCGTTGCTCCGAGACTCTCAATTGATACCGTTTCTTGGGATTTGGGATTATTGATAAAACGTACGATGGAAGACCAGAACTGTATTCAGGAAGAGGATGATATATCAACGGAGGGGAACAAAACGGTCAGGTGACTGTTGCTCCCAACAGACCCTTAAGTTTAAGAGTACCCAGAAGATTGGAATATCATCTGTTCCCATTCCTTCCAGTATGACATTGATTTGATCTTTCTTTCTTATATCTTGGGTTGATCTTCACTAGAGCAATATACACCACGGCTTAAACTATAGCGAGTCGAAAACTGAAATCTATATGGTGGGCAAGGTGATATCACTACTATATATGTACTATGATTTTGATGAAGTGATACAAGAGACGGGGTCACCGCGTGCTAAGGATGATATGAACTTGGCAACTTTCAATCAGTAATATTGTTTTCATTAAGCTATATAGATAGCTTCGTGGCAGTAAATGATATATCTATCTTCAGCAATATATCACACTGATAGCATAGACTCTTCCATTTTGATATTTATTTAGGCCAGTGGGCTTTCCTCAAGCCTGACATTGTACAAAACTCCATTTTCTTTTCTTTTTTCGTTAACCGCATGGCCTGCCTGGCCAAAAGGGGGCTGGGTTTACCTCCAAGCCGCCACCGAACAGCCCCTATGACCAGCTTGAACTTTCTGTGGTTTTTAATGAATCATTCACTAATTCACTTGTGCACGTGAGTAAATTTCTAATATGAGTCGTGAGGATCGTAACACTTCAATCTTAGGGCGGTATATTGGCAAAAATATATATGTAAGTCTTTGTCGAACCCAGACTTTTCGGAACGACCAACCCGCCGAATGTGTGTAAGTTGCCGAATGTGCATTTCCCTCAGATATAGGCTAATTTAAATAAACACTTACCTAAAGTCTAGAAAAGTTTTCACAAGCCACATAACCTACCACATGACATAGCAACATATTGAGTCAAGGGGAAGTTCAGCCGGAGAAAACCGGAGAGCGAAACGTAAAACCTCTCCACTCGCAACACCCAAGATAATTTTGATTTGGAAGATAATTTAATTTACCCAAACCAAAACACAACAAGGATTATGGCAATGCAAAACATCGGTCTCCGCACACCTGGCGTGCTAAGCATCGTATTCGGCGCTCAAGGCGCCTTCCTCCTGGCCAATGCCGTCTACACCTTGGCATACCCTTCTGCCGCGTCGAACCTTCCCGACTCTCCTCTAGCTGGAGTTCCTAGCCATACAGTTCGATGCATTGGGTGAGCTATGGATATCTTAACTTAGTGTTAAATGCTTATCGCAAAATCCCGCAGCGTGACGTCTCTTTCGACGGGGACAATTTACGCCATTGCGAGCTACCAGCGCAATATTCCGATTATGGTTGCTTCGCTGCCTGGTCGTCTTTTTGCCGGTTTTGTATTTTATCGGAATGGCGGTGCTTGGACTCGGGTTGCGATATTTGAAGTTTGTATGGGGCTGGTGAACGCCGCAGCACTTGTTTGGGATTTATACATATAAACTAAGAGGTATGCGCGCTAGCAATCTCTAGCAATTCTTTTGTGAAGAGTCCAGCTCAGAGGAAAAGATTTGGAGAATGTGTACGATAATTGCGAACTAAAAGATACTATTCCACTCTAATGACCCACAAGAACAGTCCACGGGTAGGCCTTGTATATGGCGTGTTTTTTTAGATGTCATTTTATAGATATTTCCCGCTTATTGGTGTTTTAGCTAGAATATAGGCGGTAACGGCTGAGAATGTACAAAACGACCTTTCCGTATAACCTTTGATATAGACCTACATCGGGGAACCAAATGGAACCGGGCTTTCTAGACTAGACGGGCCGAGGCCAAACGCTTAATATCGCCGGAGTTAGCCACAAGACCGAAGTGGATACCATGGGAAAGCCGTCAATCCAAGCATCTAGACGGCCTTGAATATACAGCTAGCTTTCGGGTGTTATTGAGCCAAGACCTAGGCCTCTCACGGTTCACAAAGGACCGATCTATCTCCGGCAAGAAGCCGAGACATTTCCTAACATGGTATTTTGGATCAATTCCGGGGAACTAGAGAAAGGCATAATATATTCATGGATGTATAAACTTCCCTTTTATCCATGTGCCAGTATGCATCAATGCATATACCATTGCAGGCTAATTCTGGGGTTCCTACGTTCGGTAGATGGTGGTCGGCAGTACAACCATCCGCCCGAAGCCGATTCATACAGAAATCAAACGGTAGGGTTGCAGTGAATGGATATGGGGATAGGGGTTAAACCGGTTAAATCAAATCTAATTCAACCGGTTCGGGAACGAGTTCGGATGTGGGGAAGTTGACTTCAGCTCAAATGATGCAGCCTTTGCCTCGGGAATTTTCTGGAAATTTCGCCTTTGCGGTATCATGATATGAGGAAGTATATTGTATAAAACTTTCAGTAGACCAAAAATAAGAGTTGAACGGTGAGAGTTTTGATGAATCTCCAGATTTTGAAATGCGCGGGGTCCCCGGAATGTCCCCATCTGGTGGAGCTGGTCCGAATCCCTTCGCGGTAGATGCCGACTCACAAACTCACTGGATGAGACCATAGAATTCTAGTGGGGAATGTGTTAGGTTGCTATACCGTGGACTTCTGCTTCCATTTTATCCAGCCAGTTCGAGGTCTTTGGCTAAGAGCGCCGGCTAAATTCTGCTCGACATCACGCACGGCCTAATGCTATTGCAGCCACTGACGGTCTTGCAGAGCCACGCTAGTCGACCCTTTCCCGTCTCGCGGCCGATTTGACATGCCCACACGGCTTGAAGAGAAGGGAGGACCAGGCGCCACGAAGCTTGGTCACAATGGGCTGATTGGGCCGATTACCTCATGTTTTCGGGTTTCAAACTTGATCACATACTCCATGCACCCCCATGGGGCTAAGTTCCCGGGGTAAACTGGTCGTTTTGGGCTCATTATCCGTACCCCAGGGAATAAATACTCGCAGATCCCCTGTCGAGACGTAAGGAGCATGCAAGCATTTCTCCTAACATTTGCCATTCTGATTTTATTTTCGCTCACACAGGAACTCGAATTTTTTTTTTTTGCATCACTTGTCCTTGTCCGTCTTTGTCGTAATACACAATGGTGGCTCCTCTCGCGGGGGAGACGGCCATCTCGGCCAAACGTGCTGAGCTTTCAGGCAAAAATGGGTTCAAGGGCCTGCTCAGTAACAAAAAGACAACATGTATCGGACTTTTCGCGTCACTAGGAGGTCTGGTTTATGGATGTAAGTCAACGAAGCTATAGCAATGCTCCGTGAATATAATCTGACGGCGATTATCCAGACAACCAGGGAATGTTTGCTCAGGTTCTGACAATGCCGGCGTTCCAGGCAGCGGTATGTCTCTGGCCCGTTGAACCCACCGCTTTGCACTGCTAACGGACTTTGTCACATAGACTCAAGATTATGCGAAAGAAACGGGTATTAAGCAAGGAATGCTCACGTCCATCCTCGAACTTGGTGCTTGGGTGGGGACATTGGCAAACGGATATCTTGCCGATGCGCTCGGTCGTCGCCTGACTGTTTTGGTTGCTGTTGTGGTGTTCTGCGTTGGTGTTATTGTTCAAGCCTGTACGGAGAACAAAGACTTTGTCTTTGGAGGTCGATTCGTGACTGGTCTGGGTGTTGGTAGTCTGAGTATGGTTGTGCCGTTGTATAATGCAGAGTTGGTAAGTGAATGCAACGGGAATGACTTCTAAAAAGGAAAAAGGCTAACGAAGACGAAAGGCACCACCGGAGATTCGTGGCTCGCTCGTCGCTGTGCAGCAACTTGCCATTACCTTTGGAATTATGGTCAGCTTCTGGGTACGTCGCCTCCATTCTCGTGGAATCTCTCAACCCTGACGTGTGTAGATTGGCTATGGAACAAACTATATTGGCGGAACTGGGGCAACACAATCGGATGCTGCATGGCTGATCCCAGTCTGTATTCAAATCCTGCCCGCGGTGACCTTGGCTGTGGGCATGATGATGTTCATGCCACAGTCCCCCCGTCATCTGATGAACACCGGCCGCGAGGAAGAATGCCTACAAACGCTGGCCCGCTTGCGTAACGCACCTCCGGATGATTTGCTTGTTCGCATTGAGTTCCTTGAAATCAAGAGTTTGTACCTCTTTGAACGAGAGACGGCTGCCGAGAAGTATCCCGACTGGCAGGATGACTCGTTTTCCAGCCGCTTCAAGATCGGACTACATGATTACATGTCATTGATCACCGACAAGTCTCTATTTAAGCGCACGGCAACGGCGGTACGTTTGAAGTATGTGATACTCCACGAATATTGCTAATGTATAATAGTGCATGATAATGGTTTTCCAACAATGGAATGGTAGGATATGTGAAATCTCAAACGTTGAATTCATGACTGACATTATTACTTAGGCATTAACGCAATTAACTACTATGCGTAAGTTCCCGCAGATGCAGCCTGGTAGCGGCTGATATGGAAGATCCACGGTTTGATCCCATGTGCTTGATGAGCTCACCTGCTGACACTTCGACAGACCATTCATCTTCAAGGAGATGCACCTAGGCGGTAACACAATCTCACTACTTGCCACCGGTGTTGTTGGAATTTTCGAGTTTGTCTTCACTATTCCCGCCGTCCTGTGGGTTGACAAGATTGGACGAAAGAAGATCTTGATTGCTGGCGCCATTGGAATGGCATCCTGTCATTTCATTGTCGCGGGTATCATTGGCGCGTATCAGGGTAGTTTCGAAGAGCACACCGCCGCTGGCTGGGTGGCTATTGTCTTTGTTTGGATTTTCATCATCAATTTCGCCTACTCATGGGGTACGTGCAAAATTCCTTGCGGGGAGAACATCTGCTGACCATTGTTCCACTGTAGGACCTGTTGCGTGGATTGTTACTTCCGAGGTATTCCCGCTCAGCATGCGTGCCAAGGGTGTCAGTATTGGTGGTAGCAGTAACTGGGTAAGTCGCGAGATAGACTGTTGGATTCATTGGAGATCCTCTAACTGGGTACTCTGCAGTTGAACAACTTCGCAGTCGGTACTGCTACATCTCCTTTCCTGCAAAAAAGCAACTTTGGAGCATTTATCTTCTTCGGATGCATCACGACCGTTGCTGTGCTCTATGTCATCTTCCTTGTGCCCGAAACCAAAGGTCGCACTCTTGAGGAGATGGACGAATTGTTCGGATCGGTCGGGTTGGCCGCTGCCGATAGTGGACGCAAGCAACGAATCGAACGTGAAATAGGCCTTCTTGCCCTCGTTGGCGCGGAGCCCGCCGACGAGAAGCACACTGAGGCTGGTATGGATGAGAGCAACATCGAGGTGTCAAAGCACGAGGATATTGCGTCTAGCCCGAGGGATTAGACAGAGGTAAGCTGCCTTGAACATGGGGTAAATGACGGTCAACAGGCTGAACAGTTCTGTCGGGACAAGATCGACAATAGGTCGACATATGAAATACCTGGATCACATATGTTTAGTTCTTGTACTCTGTACTCCGTACGGAGTACCATAATATAGAGTACTATAATATAACCTTTGACCTCTTCACTCCTTACGTGTATGCCAATTTGGACATGCATAATATTTATCGCATGCACCTGATCACATATATATATCCCTATATTGGAAAATAAGACTAATGCCAAGTAAAAAGAGCCCAAATCAAAGTTTTCAGCCCATTTCTATGTATAGAAACCGGGGGCCAAGGTTGACGATGCACCAGTCACATTCAAGGGAAGGCACCCTTATGTTTTGGATATACTGACCATTCTCACTCGTTTGTTTTCATTTTCTTTCTTCCTCTTTTCCCCCTTTCAAACTATTCTCGTCTCTCAAATCCATTCACGAACCCTCACAATTCAAAATGTCTACCACTACTTCCACCACCTCGTCCGTGAGCGCAACCAGCACTGCCTGCGGTGGCAGTGTTTGGGAAATCCCTACAACAGATGCAGCCTGTGCGGCTGTTATTAGTGGGAACATTACCGATGTGATGGATGATTGCTGCAAGGACGCGAAGGTTTCCAAGTACGACAACGACTGCGGCATCTACTGTCTTGCCCAGGGCCAGGATGTCAACAAGCTCCAGTCCTGCCTCACCAGCAAGAGCGGCAACTACCACGACGTCTTCTGCAACGCCGCTCTCAATGCGACCGCCACTGCCACGGCCACCGGCTCCAAGTCCACTTCCTCAGGCACCGGTACTAGCACACAATCGTCTACTACCTCGACTTCCACAAACGCCGCTATTGCGAACCAGCCGGTCTCCAAGTCTGGTGTTGGATTGATTGCACTCCTTTTTGGATCTGCTTTGATGGCTGTTATTTCTTAAGTCCATCCACGAATGCTTGGTGTTTCGGGGAAGATTCAAAATGGCTGTTTTGATCATATTTCTTTTCTTCTAGCGGAAGAGCGACCGTGTTTTCTTACTTCGCATCCTTTGAACATAATATTTTCTTAATGAACACCCATGATTCGGTATGCTTAATGGATTCTCTGTACTCCGGTGGTTATTTATTGTATAGTCGAGTGTAGAAAATGATAGTCCCCCATGACGTCATTGGGTTGCAAAATCGGCTTCTGTTGCTCTGCCCTCTACCGACCCCATCCCTGTTACTTTGTAGGACAAATATCAAGATACAACATCTGAAAATGTCCTCAATCGCAAAAACTGTCATCGCGACAGGCACCTCGTCAGGCTTGGTGAAGCCACATTCCTTGGAATATCCAGACTCCAGCTAACATGTTTATAGGGATTCGAAGCAATCAAACAGTTACTCCAGCAGACACAGCCGTATAGCTTCATCCTGGGCGTTCGTGATACAGAAAAGACGCGTATTGCGTATGATGCTTTAAAATTCGACACTTCAAAGCACAGCGTCTCTGTCTTGCCCCTGGATCTTTTGGATCTTAAGAGTGTCCAGTCCTTTGCCAAGCAAGCACTCTCGGAATTGGGCCAAAGGCCGTTGGACTATCTTTTCCTCATTGCTGGTCTTGTTGCTAGCGCCGATGGACCAGGACCTCATGGCTCTCAATGGTGCGAATCGTACGTGGTAAATCATCTGGGTATGTCAGAATTTGATCCGTCGGCTACTAAAGAGAAGAGGCTAGGAGACTGGAGCTAATAATTCATGGATACCAACTCAGCCCAGCATTATCTGACTCATCATTTCGCTGAGACCCTGTCTGCCTCGCAATCGCGTGTTGTCATTGTATCTTCGGGTGCAATTCGTGGTGTGAGAGGAAGCGACCCAAGTAAGTCTAGTTCTGACTTTTCAATCGTGTCGCTAAAGGCGAAATTTTTCACAACGCTGACCTCATATCAGGGACCCTTGATGTCGACCTAAAAGCAAACTCCGGCGCGAACGCAAAAGTAGTGTACAGTGCATCGAAATTTACCCAACTTCTGGGTGCGCACTACTGGCGTCGTAGCCTCCCAAATTGCAAAGTCGTGGCTGTCTCACCAGGTCTCATTCCCAACACCAAGCTTGCCCAGCATTCAAGCTTAGGATTATCCATGGATATGCCTGATGCCAAGACGGTGCCAGAAGGTGAGGATCTTCGGGATTTGAATTTTGCATCGAAGACGATATCTAATGATCAATAGGTGCCCAGAACATCCTCCGCGCGGTCACGGTCGATAATCTCCCTGCTGATCCGGAACAAATCTTCTTGACTAGTTGGGGCGAATGGTGGCCCAAGGATGTCTATGCTTTAAGCCTTGATCCTGCGTTGCAGGATAAGTGGTGTTTGAGCAAGGAGGATATTGAGAAGTCCGAGCCTGTGTTCAAGGAATAAGGAGCACATCTAACAGGTCTGCAACTAATCTATTTACATCCAAGATCCTGTTTTACGGCCAACGATGCTATCCATTCGTTCGCGAATCGGAGAGAGCGCGTAGTAGATAGACATAAATGAGTCAAATATATTTTGAATAAACAGGGAATCGTGATGAGAAAAGAAAAATATAGCACAAGCGCCAAGAAATCAAACCAGTCACAAGATTATTATATTTGCAAATATAGGAAAGAATCTATGTGTGTGTGGCTAGCATGTACGCAATACCAGAAGTTTCCAACCGGTCGGAATCAATCATAATCTGAACAGACTGTGCATCATATCAACAAACAAGACTTGCAACCTACTCAGCGATCGCAAGCTTGCGCAGGGTACCGAAGTTGGGCGATCCAAGACCGGAAACAGGGTCCCAGCCCTTGGTAGCGTTCCAGCTGGCACCTGGAATCGACGGGCCACCGTTTTCGGGGCCGCTGAAGCGGCCATTGCCATCGCAGCCCGTGCTGCCACCGTGGACAATGTCGTTGAGGCCGGCGCGGCCAGTCGAGTACAGCCAGGGGTTGAGGAAGCCCAGAGGTGCCTTCTTGGCCTTTTGGCGGGCGTCATTGAGGAGAGCGATGACTCCGGCAAAGGCAGGGGCTGAGCAGGATGTGCCGTCGACGCTGGACAGCGAGCCCTTATCGTAGATGGCGTAGTTCTGGCCTTGGGCGGTGACATCGGGGAAGGCACGGCCGTTGGGGTTGAAAAGGCCGGACCAGCGGTCACCCAGCTTGTCGAGGTACTCACTCACGGCATCGTCTTGCCACTTGGGGCGATCCCAGAGATCGGAGAAGCCGCCGGACGAGAAGTACACGGCCCTCTCGGGCGCGGTGTGGGTTGTGGCGCCGACAGATGTCACCCACGGGCAGGCAGCGGGGAACTGGGGTGGGAAGCGGGTCGCGTTTCGGCCATCGTTCGTCTGGCATGCGGCACCAACGCCGGAGTCGCCAGATGAGAAAATAACGGAGACACCACGGCTGCCGAGCTGTGAGTACAAGTTGCAAACGGTACGGGCGTACTTCTCGGGAACGCTCTGGAGATTGATATTAGAGACTGATGAAAAATCACGAAAAATAGGGGGTGCGTATCATACCTGCTCGTCCTCGCCGTAAGAGGTGGAAATCACATGGGGAAGGTCCTTCTTGTGCATCTTGAGCACGTTCTGGAGGAATTCGAGGTATGGCTCGTTGTTGTTATCATTGGGATCGGGCTGGTCGAGATCTGGAACAAGTTCACCGCGGCCACCAGTGCTGAACTCTGTAACGGGAACAGGAGAGCTGACTCCAACAATGTACTGCAGGTCGAGGTTTGCCTCGCTGCTGCTACCGCTGGAGTGTTGATCGTTGCCACCGCCGTTATACTGAACGACGGAGAAGTTCTGGCCCTTGGCAAAGGGCGCGACATTCTTCTCAAAGAGTTCCAGATCGGAGTATCGTGCATACTCCTCCAGGTAACTGGCAAATGCGACCTTGTTCCCACTGGTGGCGGAAGCCTCGTAGTCACCGATATTGTACAGATCCTTGAGACACTGGGGAGTGATGACGCTGTTGCAGTCCGGCTTAGCGGACATGGCATTCAAGCGGAAAGCCTCGTCGTTTTCCTTGACCTGGGTGTGCAATATGGCCCGTTGGGCGCGCAGCTGGCCAAAACGGGTGGTTGGCTGAATCATGTTGATGTGTGACACCAGAGCCTCCGGGACGGAGTACTCGAGCGTGCGAAGACGCTCAATTTGCTTGACACTGTTGGAGTAGAACTGGAAATTAGCTGCCAGCAGCTTGTTTGCCGTCTCCACGGTAGTGTAGAAGGTCATCCAGTCGGCATCCTGTTCGATCTTGGTAATACCAGCAGCTTCGAGCCAGTCACGGATTGAGTCTGTGGACTCTGCGCTGGGCTGCAGCATCCGCTTCATTTCCTCGTGAGTGTTGAAGTGGTTCCCGTAGCTGGGGTGATCGGGGGTTGACATTTCCATCACAGCCTGTTCGAATCCGGCAGCATCTCCCTGTGCCAGAGCAATCTGTAGCTTCAAGGGCTGATCAGCACTCGGTGTGCGAGAATATCTCCATCCTATGGTAGGTCAGCGTCTCAATTCTGTCGGTTTAGTTTAGAATACAAATTACTCACCCTGAGGAACAGCAGACAAACTCTCAAATGCATCAGCTGCAGCAGAAGATGCAAGAAGCGACAAGACCGCGAGCGACAATGCTCCACGGTTAAATAGAGATGCAATCATGATAGAAATGAGCGATATGAAGACACCCTGTCAGACACTGATCGGGGCCTCTGCACAGCGAATGCAGGAAGTATAAATAGTTCGACAGAAGGCTATCAAATATAAAGGAGGGGTAAATATCGTGAATAATTGGTGTTTATTATGGTTGCATTGGTGGGGGGGGAATGATAGGGCGACAAAGAATGTGTATTGAAGAAGTTCAGGATTAACCAGAATAAGACAACAAGCACGGAGTGCTTTAATCGAAGTTTCACGTCATTCCCTTGGCATCGCTGTTATTTCCACTGTTCCAGTGGGCCCTTGGTGGATGTCCGTTTGGTGAGACTGTTCTAAATCAATAATAATGGCAACGCCGGGGATTGCGTCTTCAGGATCAGGCTACATAGCCCCATACTCGCGTCGCAATTAATGACCTTTCCCAAGCCGAGGAACGGCGGATTGTTAGTGATGTGATCGGTATGGAGATAAACTCTCTATCCCATTGTGATATGTAATGGGCGCGTCCGTCGGGGTCCGTTTATGATCGGCAGGGGCTGACCCACTTCGAAGGAAACAATGTGAGGGGCGTCAGGGTCAGGGGGCTTGTATTGCCGGGTGGCTGGACAATTTGACCCTAAAATCAGATCAGCTCCAGTTCTGATTTATATGAAGCCCACAGTTCATCTGTGACCAGATCTAATCGATGTGAATCAGCTGGATGAGTTGTTCAATGACCAAAATCATTCTTCCCCTGCCAAGCTTCTCGAGGGGGAAGTTGGGATGGCGATCATGCACTGTTGCACCAGCTGACAGCCAATTAGGCTATCTCATAAAAATTAAGACAGTCTTGCAAGGATGAGCACTAGGCTGCTGTGGCGCTGAAATGAACTGCAACACTGTTGCAACCCGAATGACTATCGGTTCTGTTTGCATTGATATGCGCCGGAGTGCGCCGGAGTGCGTCGGAGGCTGGGGCTAATACAAAATTCCAATGTTGCCAGAATCATAAGTTACATAGGCAGGGGAGACAGTTGTGGCTGATGATCTTGATCTCCCTTCATTATTTTGATGTGATATCTCAACCTTGGGTAAAAAAAAGGCTGAGCATAAATGCGAAGTGCGCAGGTGACGGGATGTCCAGAGTACTCAGTACGCTTGTGTTTGTGACACCTATCGGGTCGAAATGATAGTTCCCGTTGGCAATTATTGTCTCGCGATTGTGCATACTCCGTAGTCCGGGCTATATTAAAATGTTGACTTCTTAGCTTCTTGGCTTCTTGGCTTCTTGG